ATATACAAAGTGTCTCTGAAATAGGATGAGTTCTTTGGGTATATGCCAAGGAGTGGTATAACTGGGTCAAATGGTGGGTTCATTTTTAGGTTTGTTTTTTTTTTAAAATTTTTCATTTTTGGTCTTTTAAAGACAGGTTCTTCCTGTAGCCCCAGCTGTCCTGGAACTCACTATGTAGACCAGGCTGGCCTTGAACTCACAGAGATCCGCCTGCCTCTGCCTCCCAAGTGCTGGGATTAAAGGTGCGTGCCACCACGCCTGGCCATTTTTAGTTTTTTAAGCGTTCTCCACACTGCTTTCCATAGGGGTTGAATAAGTTTGCAATCCCACCAGCAATGGATGAGCGTTCCCTTTTCCCCACATCCTCTCCAACATTTGGTATCATTTGTTCTCTTGATCTTAGCCAGTCTTACTGGGGTAAGATGAAATCTTATAAAAGTGGTTTTAATTTGCATTTCCCTAATTACTAGTGATGTTGAATACCTTTTTTCTTGGTCTTTTTGAGACAGGGTCTCCCTGTAGCCCCAGCTGTCCTGGAACTCACTATGTAGACCAGGCTGGTCTTGAACTCACAGAGATTCACCTGCCTCTGCCTCCCGAGTGCTGGGACTAAAGGCGTGCACCACCATGCCCAGCTTCAATACCTTTTAAGATGCTTCTTAGCCATCTTTATTCTTTTGTCAACTCTGTTCAGTTCCTTAACCCATCTTTTGATTGGGTTACTTCATTTCTTGATACTTTGTTTTCTGAGTTTGTTATATATTCTGGGTGTTAAACCTCTGTCAGATGTGTCACTGGTGAAGATTTTCTCCCATTCTGTGGGTTTTCTCTTCACTTCCTTGGTTGCTTCTTTTGATGTACAGAAGCGTTTTAGTTTAATGAGGTCCCCTTCGTTGATTCTTGACCTTGTTTCCTGGGCAGTTAATGTCTGGTTTAGAAAATCCTTTCCTGTACCTATATCTTGTAGGTTTTTGCCAATGTTTTCTTCCAAAACTTTCAGAGTTTCAGGCTTCACATTGAGGTCTTTGATCCATTTGGAGTTGACTTTTGTGCAGGGTGAAAGATAGGGGTTTAGTTTCATTCTTCTACAGGTGGAGATCCAGTTGTGCCAGCACCATTTGCTGAACATGCTCTTTCCTCCAGTGAATGTTCTTTGCCCCTTTGTCAAATAGCAGGTGGCTGAAATTGGATGTACTTATATTTGGGTCTTCAATTTTGTTCCATTGATCTATGGGTCTATTTTTGTGCCAGTACCATGTTGTTTTTATAACTCTGTAATACAGTTTAATATCTGGTATAGTAATCCCCGCCCCCCCCGGCATTGCTCTTAGTGCTCAGGGTTGTTTTGGCTATCCGAGATCTTTTGTGCTTCCATATGAATCTTAGGATAGTTTTTTCCAATTATGTGAAAAATGTCATGGGGATTTTAATTGGCATTGCATTGAATCTATAAGTGACTTTTGGTAGGATGGTCGTTTTCACATTATTGATTCTTCCAATCCATGAGCATGGGAGGTCCTTCCATCTTATGATGTCTCCCTCAATCTCTTTCTTTAATGATTTAAAATTTTCATTGTACAGCTCTTTAAAGTCTTTGGTCAGGTATATTCCGAGATATCTTATTTTATTTATTTATTTTTTTTGCAGCTATTTTGAAGGGGAGTGTTTCCATGTGCTCTTTCTCTGATTGCTTGTTATTGGTATATAGAAAGGCTACAGACTTTTTTAGGTTAATTTTGTAACCTGCCACTTTACTGAACGTGTTAATAAT